AGAGCTCTCTGCCCAGCTGTCTTCTCCCTCCTGCCCTCTGGCTTTCTCTGCACCCAGGTTTGTTTGCCCTCCTCTCCTGCCACTGTGGCCTTGCCTTTCTCTGTCTTCCCTCCGGCTTTGGTGCTGCCTTGCTCTGCAGCTGTTCATGGCTGCCCCAGGGCCTTTAGGGAACCAAGTGTAGACTTTGAGTCTGGGCTTGAAGGCATTTTACAATCTGCTTCCAAGGCTCCTTCTCACTGCCACTGCCCCTTCATACCACAGCCCACCTCCTGGTCCCTGAAGACATGTGGATCTCCCTTGTGGTAAGGCCTGCCTCCAGCCAGCTGGGCGTTCCTCCATGGCTCTCAGCCTCATCTCTTTCTCCAAAAATGTTATCTATCATTCAACACTGAATCCAATTTCACCTCTTTTTTTTTCTACTTCTTTCTTGTAGCATCTTTCATCTCCATTTGTTAATTCACTTCCTCCATTCATTCATTCATTATCCTGCCCATTCTTGGTGGCTGCCATGTGCATGCGAGGCCTCTAGGGATAGAAATGAAGGGCGTTGAGGAGCTGACACCCTAGCTGGGGACGGGGCACTCTGGCTGCAGTCCTGGTTTTGCTAAGGACAAGCTATCTGACCACAGGAAAGTCGCTTCAGTGTCATATCTTAACCCTTGAGGTGGGGGAATACTCCTGCCCTCAAAGTGGAATTCGAGGAGCCAGTGAGGCAGTGCATGTCTGGGCTCAATGCTCGCATTTGGAGGATGCCGCTGGCTGAGGTCTGAGAACCTCAACGCGTGTGCCTATCCCAGACATGTGTGCTTATTGTTTTGAGTTTCCTGGAATTTGGAGGCAGCTTCCTAGGCAGCATCTCCAGGAGAATACGGACCTTATCTACTGCTTCATCTTCTTCAGAGGAAGGTGACTGTCACTACAGGTATACCTTGACTTATTGTGCTTCGCTTTATTGGGCTTCACAGAGATCATGTTTTTCCAGATTGGAGGTTTGTGGCAACCCTGTGTCAAGCAAGTCTATTGGTGCCATTTTTTCAACCTTTGCTCACTTTGTCTCTGTCACATTTTGGTAATTAATTCTTGTGGTTTTTCAAACTTATTATATTTGCTTTGGTGATCTATGATCTGTGATCTTTGATATCACTATTGCAAATGTTTGGAGGTGCCACAAACTGCACGTGTGTGAAATGGTGAACTTAAATGCTGTGTGTGTTCTGACTCCAGAACACAGGGAACTTAACTGATAAATGCTGTGTGTGTTCTGACTCCAGAACACAGGGCTCCAGTGACCAGCCATTCTCCCATCTCTCTCTCCCTCTCCTGAGGCCTCCCTATTCCGAGGCACAATACCGAAATTAGGCCAATTAATAACTCTACAACGACCTCCAAAGTGTTCAAGTGAAAGGAAGCATTGCACATCTCTCCCTTTAAGTCAAAAGCTAGAAATGATTAAGCTTAGTGAGGAAGCCACATCAAAAGCCTTGGTAGGCTGAAAGCTAGGCTTCTTGTGCCAAACAGTTAGCCAAGTTGAGAATGCAAGGGAAAAGTTCTAGAAGGAAGTTAAACATGCTGCTCCAGTGAACGCAGCAATGATAAGAAAGAGAAACAGTCTTATAGCTGACACAGAGGAAGTTTTAATGGTCTGGCTAGAAATCAAACCAGCCACATTAGCTGAAGCCTAATTCAGAGCAAGGCCCTAATTTTCCTCAGTTCTATAAAGGCTGAGAGAGGTGAGGACACTGCAAAAGAAAAGTTTGAAGCTGGCAGAGACTGGTTGATGAGGTTTCAGGAAAGAAGCCGTCTCCAGAACAGAAAAGTGTAAGGTGAAGCAGCAAGTTAGATTTAGTTAAGATCACTGATGAAGGTGATGACACTAAGCCACAGATTTTCAGAGTAGACGAGACAGCCTTCTATTGGAAGAAGCTACCATGTAGGACTTTCATAGCTAGAGAGGAGACGTCAATGCCTGGCTTCAAAGGACAGGCTGACTCTCTTGTTAGGGGCAGTGTAGCTGGTGACTTAAAGTGGAGACGAGTGCTCATTGACCATTCCCACAACCCTAGAGCCCTTAAGAATAGTGCTAAATCTATTCTGCCTGAGTTTTCTAAATGTAATAACAAAGCCTGCATGACAGCACATCTGTTTACAGCATGGTTTACTGAATATTTAAAGCCAACTACTGAGACCTGCTTAGAAAAAAGACTCCTTTCCAATATGACTGCTCATCGATAATGCACCTGGTCACTTAAGGTCTCTGATGGAGGTGTACAAAGAGATGACTTTTGTTTCAACAACCATGCTGCAGCCTATGGATCAAGGAGTAATTTTGACTTTCAAGTCTTATTATTTAAAAAACACATTTCATAAAGCCATAGCTGCCATAGATAGTGATTCTTTTGATTGATATGGGCAAAGTAAATTGAAAACCTTCTGGAAGGCCCAGGCACAGTGGTTCATGCCTGTAATCCCAGCACTTTGGGAGGCTGAGGCGGGTGGATCACCTGAGGCCAGGAGTTTGAGACCAGCCTGGCCAACATGGCAAAACCCCGACTCTACTAAAAATACAAAAAATAGCCAGGCGTGGTGGTGGGCACCTGTAATCCCAGCTGCTCGGGAGGCTGAGGAAAGAGAATTGCTTGAACCCATGGGGCAGAAGTTGCAGTGAGCTGAGATCATGCCATTGCACTCCAATCTGGGTGACAGAGTGAGATTCCATCTCAAACAACAACAAAACCTTCTGGAAAGGATTCACCATTCTACATGCTTTTAAAATATCTGTGACTCATGGGAGGAGGTAAAAATATCAACATTAATAAGAATTGGAAAAAGTTGATTCCAACCTTCATGGATGACTGAGGGGTTCAAGACTTCAGTGGGGCAAGTCACTGCAGATGTAGTGGAAAGAGCAAGAGAGCTAGAATTAGAAGTGGAGCCTGAGGATGTGACTGAATTGCTGCAGCCTCATCAAATTTGAACAGATGAGGAGTTTCTTCTTATGGATGAGGAAAGTGGTTTCTTGAGATGAGATAGAATCTACTTCTGGTGAAGAGGCTGTGAACATTGTTTAAATGACAACAGGATTTTGAATAGTACACAAATTTAGTTGATAAAGGAGGAGCAGAGTTTGGGAGGATTGACTCCAATTTTGAAAGCAGTTCTACTGTGGGCAAAATACTATGAAACAGCCTCACATGCTGCGGGAAAACCTTTCATGAAAGGAAGAGTCGATCAATGCAGCCAACTTCATGGTGAGGTGAACCCAGCCCTCAGCACCCACCACCCTAATCACCGAGCAGCCGCCAACATCGGGGCAAGACCCCCACAGCAAAAAGATGATTACCCGAAGGCTCAAATGATTGTTAACTTTTTTTTTTTTTTTTTTTGAGATAGGGTCTTGCTCTGTCCCCCAGGTAGCAGTGCAAGAGGGTGATCATGGCTCACTGCAGCCTCGACCTCCCAGACTCAAACACCCTCCCACCTCAGCCTCGAAAGCAGCTGGAATTACAGGTGCCCAGCTATTTTTTCTTTTTTGTAGAAACAATGTTTCACTATGTTGCCTAGGCTTGTCTTGAACTCCTGGCCTCAAGTGATCCTCTCACCTCAGCCTCCCACAGTACAGAGATTACAGGCAGAAGCCACCGTGCCCAGCTTGTAACATCTTTTAGCAATAAAGTATTTTTTTCTCTCTTTTCCTTCCTTCCTTTTCTCCCTCCTTCCCTTCCTTCCTTCCTTCTTTTTCTCTCTTTTTTATGAAGAGACAGAGCCTCTTTCTGTTACCCAGGCTGGAATGCAGTGGTGCAGTCACAGCTCCGTGCAGCTTCAAACTCTTAGGCTCAAGCAGTCTCCCAGGTCAGCCTCTCAAAGTGCTGGGGTTACAGGCATGAGCCACTGTACCTGGCCCAATAAAGCATTTTTTAAACTAAGGTATGTACTTTTTTTTTTTTTTTAAAGATATAATGCTGTTGCACACTTAATATAAGACTACAGTATGGTATAAACATAATTTATATGCACTGGGAAAATTATGTGTGACTCACTTTATTGTGATACTTATTTTAGTGTAGTCAAACTAAATCCACAATATCTCCAAGAAATGCCTGTAGTATTGGTCACTGCCAATCAAAAAGAAAGAAAGAAATGCCCGTAATAGATATTCAATAAGTATTTTGGATTGATTGACTCAATGTTTCTTTCTTCTCCTGCATTCTAGATGTGAGACATTTGGTTTTAAATCAGAGAAAATTATCTGAACAGGGTATTGAGAATGGCAACATTGTCAGAGAGGAGTGGAACCAGGAACATCCACGAGGAAAACAAGAAAAAGCAGAAAAACACCCGAAGTCTTTGCAAGGTGAGCAGAGAAGGTCTTTGTGGAGAAGCTGAGTGCAAGGCAGCGCAGGGAAGGCTGTTGCATGGTGCGCTGGGGCGGTGCGTGTGCACGGGAGTCCCTCCTGCGTGTTGGCAGTGGAGGCGGTGGGGCTCACCCTGCCACACGGCTGCACTGCTCTTGCTGCATGGCTTAGTTTTTGTTGCTGATTCTTTTATTTTTAAATTTAATGTATGTGTGTGTGTCCAAAAATTTTCTTTTCCTTTTTTTGAGACACAGTTTTGCTCTTGTCTCCCAGGCTGGAGTGCAATGGCACAATCTTGGCTCACTGCAACATCCACCTCCCAGGTGGAAGCGATTCTCCTGCCTCAGCCTCCCAAGTAGCTAGGATTACAGGTGCCCACCACCACACCCAGCTGATTTTTGTTTTTGTTTTTGTTTTGTTTTGTTTTTTGAAGTGAAAGGTTTCACATATTTATTACTGAACCGAGGCAACCAAAGCCGCCTTCTTTTTTTTTTTTTTTAAACATGAATAATGGAAGCACTGTGGATTGTACTAACTAATGCTTTCATAACAGATACAGAAAGGAAACTATTCAAACTTCTCCAGATAGCGGTGACATTTCTCAGCTTGATTTGGTAACACGATTGTGACCTTCAGACAGCATAAATGTGTGTGCCATCGTATGTGTAATTTCTTATAGACCCAGCTTGGTTCTTCTCCAATGTCTCCTTTTGGAGTTGTACCTGATTTTATTACCAGTTTTCATCCGAATCCACTGGGGAATGGGACGATTTCGCCTTTGTTTCTTGGCCAGGAATCGCTTAATCCTGAAAGTCTTGTGAGAAGACTTGGCAAGAAACAGAGAAAAGCACACACCACGATGGCAGAGAAAGGAAGAGAGCGATTTTTTACTTTTAGTAGAGACGAGGTTTCACCTTGTTGGCCAAGCCGGTCTCAAACTCCTGACCTCAGGTGATCCACAAGCCTCAGCCTCCCAAAGTGCTGAGGTTACAGGTGTGAGCTACTGCACCTGGCCTCAAAAACTTTTCTGACTGTAGAAGTTATATATGTGGTTTTTGGAAAATTTAATGAATAGATAAAGTATAAAACAGAAAAAAACATAATTTCATCATAAGGAACAATCTATGTAACATTGTAGTTACTATATTGCAGAGAATTTCTTTGTTTCTTGCTCTGTCACTCAGGCTGGAGTGCAGTGGTGCAATCTCGGCTCACTGCGATCTCTGCCTCCTTATTTCAAGTGATTCTCCTGCCTCAGCCTCCCGAGCAGCTGGGACTACTGGGATGAACCATCCATCACACCCAGCTATTTTTTGTATTTTTAGTAGAGACAGAGTTTCACCCTCTTGGCCAGGTTGGTCTCAAACTCCTGACCAGGTGATCCTCCCGCCTTGGCCCCCCAAAGTGCTGGGATTACAGGCATGAGCCACCTCGGCCAGCCTAGGATTTTTCTTTTTTCTTTCTTTTTTTTTTTTTTTTTTTACACAGATTAGGTTATCCTGGATACATACTCCTGTATTTAGAGATTATTAAGATGCCATCACATGCGCTTTCCCTTCTTGTTGTTACTCATTTATTATTTTCTATTAAGACAGGGTCTCACTCTGTCACTCAGGCTGCAGTGCTTACTATACTCAGGCTTGATCACAGCTTGCTACAGCCTTGAACTCCTGGACTCAAGCAATCTTCCTGCCTCAGCCTCATGAGTAGCTGGGATGACAGGCATGTGCCACCAGGCTTAGCCAGTTTTAAAATATTTTATAGAGATGGAATCCTGCTATATTGCCTGGGCTGGTCTCAAACTCCTGGGCTCAAGAGATCCTCCTGCCTCAGCTTCCCACAGTGCTGGGATTACAGGTGTGAGCCACTGCACCAGGCTGCACTTTCCTATTTTTTTTTTTTTTTTGGGACGGAGTTTCGCTCTTGTTACCCAGGCTGGAGTGCAATGGCACAATCTCGGCTCACCGCAACCTCCGCCTCCCGGGTTCAAGCAATTCTCCTGCCTCAGCCTCCTGAGTAGCTGGGATTACAGGCACGCGCCACCATGCCCAGCTAATTTTTTGTATTTTTAGTAGAGACGGGGTTTCACCATGTTGACCAGGATGGTCTCGATCTCTTGACCTCGTGATCCACCCGCCTCGGCCTCCCACAGTGCTGGGATTACAGGCTTGAGCCACCGCGCCCGGCGCACTTTCCTATTTCCCGAAAAACTTTCCATGAACTTCATTTGTGGTGACTAAGTAGTATTTCATCTTCTGGTCAGACTGTAATCTATTCCCTATGGTTGGGAACTTGGGAATCTTGGGACTATTTTCATTTTCTAATGTAAACAGTACTGAAATGGACAATTTAATACATAATAGACTTTTCTCTTTCTGTTGGCTGTTATATAAGGAACTGGAGGTCTCCTCTTGACTGCATTTATCAAAATAATTGAAACTAGTCTGTATGTTTATTCATTCACTCACTTACTAATTTTTTTACTGAGTGCTTACCATATCCCAGGCCTCTGCCTAGAGACTGACATTACAGAAATGGGTCAGGAGCCCTCATTTCTTGGTCAGCTAGCATGTAACAAAAAGCTTGGAAATATTTGCTATTATTTTCAGGTTCTCAACAAGCAGAGCCTGAAACTTCTTCCAAGAACAGTGAGGAATATGAGAAGTCCCTCAAAACGGATGATTCTTCCATGGTTCAGTAAGGATTGAATGATATTTGGGCGGTAGGAGTGAAGCCCCTCTTGTACTAGCCCTACTATGAGCCATGGTAGGTGTTTTTAGTAAATCCAGTTAAATTGGAGCTCATGCAATCCAGCCTAAATTAAGGGAGCAGGGAAAGGGCAGCTTGTGTTTGTGAGTACCTGTTGCACCTCAAGCTTTCTGCGTGCATTATTTACCTTATTTGATCCTCATAATGACAACTTTATGAGGTGATATGACTATCTCCATTTTCTACACAAGGTAACTGAGTAATTAAGTGATTTACACAAAGTCATAAACCAGAATTCCTGGTTAAGCCAGGATTCCAACTCACACCTTCAGACTCCTGAGTCTCCAGCCATCCTGCATGAGGTCAGTTGCTCTTAGGGTCTCTGGTAGCCTGAGAAGGGTCTGGAGAAGGAGACTCCTTGGATGCTATGGGGACCAGGGAGAGAATGGAAGCCCAGCTGATAGTTTGGGAAAATGGAATGAGAAGAACCAATAGAACATGGCTTTAAACAATTTTGGTTTTTAAAAATTGCTTTTGTATTGAATGTATAGATTAATTTGGGAAGAATTAACATTTTTACATTGTTAAGGTATCTCATCCATGATCATGGTATATCCTTTCACTCAATTCAGACCCTTCCTTATGTCCTTTAATAGAGTTAATTTGTTCTACCTATAAATGTGGATAATTCCTAAAAGTGAATTCTTAGATGTTTTATAGTTTGGGCTATTTTTATAAAAACATATTATTTCTCATATTTTTTGAGTTGGTTAGTACCTTGAATGCAGACCAACTGTGCCAACATTACTGGGGATTTGATACAAATGCAGAATTTCAGGCCTGCCCCTGGTTTACTGAACCAGAGTCTGCATTTTATTTGACAAGATCCCTAGGTAACTCACAGGCACATTGAAAACTTAGAAGAACTGTGTTAGAGGAATGCACTATAAGATTTTTTAAAAATCTGCTTTCATTTAGTCCATCAGTAAATAGATTTTCAGATCGAGCCCCTGATTTTTTTCACCTTCATTAATTTTTCTCTTTGTGAATTTTCTAGATGGAGTGTTTCAAGAACACCAACCATTTCTTTGGCAGGAGCAAGCATGATGGAGATCAAGGAATTAATTGAGAATGAATCATTTAGCAGCTTAAACATATTAGACAGACAAAGATCTCAAAGTAAGTTAGGATCTGGGAATTTTATAATACAACTAGACTTGGAAGAATTATGAAATATTTTAAATTCAGGATACTTCAATGAGATTCTTGCATATTTGACCAAATGTTTCTCAAAAGTAAGAGTACTATATACATTTTCAACTTATGCATTCCATCCTTACTGTCCATCCATCCATTCCCATTTATCCACTCATCTATCTGTCTATCCCATCTATCCATCCATCCACCTGTATTCATCCATCCACCATTCATCCATCCCTATCCATCCATCCCCATCCACCTGTTCCATTCATTCATCCATCCATCTCCATCTATCCATCCATTTGTTCCATTTCTTCTCATGTCATTCACTCAACCTCATCATCCATCCCACTCCACCAATATTTTTGACCCGTGGTGTTATGCATATGGAGGACATGAAAATCTCTAATATCTAGTGGAGACTTTCAAATAAAGAATTATAATTCTATGTGATAGATGCTATGGTAGGGGTAGGTATATGGTATTTGGGGAAGCATAAAAGAGTAGTGTTTATGGGAAGACTCCTTGAAAGATAAAGTATTTACTCTTTTT